ACATCATCAAGAAACAAGGGGGCACGAGGTTGCCAGCACATTGTGCAGAAGCAGTTCATTTTGGGGATTGGTGCATTACCCACAAGATACTGTTGTCAGCAACATATCTTCCCAGGACTCCAAACATAATTGTGGACTCTCTCAGCAGGAAATTTGTGTCTAATCATGAATAGGAACTCCACAACACCATGGTCGCATACATTTTCGACTGCTGGGAGACTCTGACCAGAGACCTCTACACCTCCCACGCCAACAGCAAATGCACACAGTACTGCTCTGGGTGGAGGTGGAGGGGTTGGCACCCTCTCCCAAGGTGATGCCCTAGTCATACACTGGTTGGAACAGATTAATTATGCCTTTCCTCCCCTACTGCTCCTGCCGTGTGTCCTACGCAAGATCCAACAGGAGAGAACAACGGCCATTGTGATCGCCCTATTCTGACCTCGCCAGTTCTAAGTTCCACTCCTTCACTGTATTTCAGTGCATCCCCCACTTCCATTGGCAGCTTCCCTGGAAATCCTCACACATGATGGCGGCAAGATCAGATATCCTGATCAACAGACATTTCACCTATGAGCTTGGTTTTTGGGTGGACATCTTCACTAGAGCGGTACAAGACATCCTCTCGAGTAGCAGAAAAGGGTCAGTGAGGTGGTCCTATAGGGCCAAGTGGAAACGTTTCACCTCATAGGCCCAGCAGAGGGGTCTTGCCTTTGAGGATGTAGACATCCCTCTTATTCTGGACTACCTCCTGTCCCTGAAGGCGTCAGGACTCACTCTCAACTCCATCAAGGTGCACATAGCCGCTATCGATGCCTTGCACCACCACCACCACCCATGGAGGGGCGGGCACTCTGTCTTTACAGGTTTTGGAAGGGCCTCCTACGGATTTATCCACCTGTTCAACCCATTTCTCCCCAATGGGACATTAATCTTGTCCTCGTGGTGTTGATGAAATCACCATTTGAACCTATGGCCTCCTGCTCCCTGTCTCTCCTTTCCATGAAGGTCATCTTCCTGGTAGCTATTACTTCCATGAGAAGAGTAGGTGAAGAGGGGGCCATGATGGCAGACCCCCACCTTCCATAAGGACAAGGTTTCACTGCGCTTGCACCCCAAGTTTCTGCCAAAGGTTGTATCCTGCTTTCATCTCAACCATCACATACACTTACCTGCTTTCTTTCTGAAGCCTCACACCTCAACGGAGGAACGGCACCTTCTCTCCCTCAATGTCCACGGGATCCTGGCCTTCTACTTGCAGAGGACGAGATAATTCAGGAAGTCCCCTAGACTGTTTATTGCTCAAGTGGAAAAGATTGAGGGGCAAGCGATCGCCACTCAAAGGATCTCTAAGTGGGCTTCGGGGTACATTACGCTCTGCTATCAGTTGTCAGGACTGTCTCCATCCCTTGGGGTACGAACCCACTCCACAAGGGCACAAGCAACAACTACAGCCGTGCTTCATGACGTACCACTTACAGACATATGTAGGGGGGCCATATGGAGTTCGGTACGTACCTTCTCTTCCCATTACACCTTAGGATGAGACTACAACGGATGCCTCATTTGGCACGGCTCTTCTCTGTTCCACAGTTCCATCGTCTTCCTCATACCCTTGTCCTAACTAGGTATTGCTTGTTAATCACCCTCAGTGGAATACAATAGGGACCATCGTTCAAAGAAGAAGAGGTGGTTACTTAAATGTAACTGGAGGTTCTTCAAGATGTGTGGTACCTATCTGTATTTCAATCCCGCTCTCCTTCCCCTCTGCTGCAGATCTGTTCCATTTGCAGTGGAGAAGGAACTGAGGATGTGGTTGGTCCTCCCCGCCCTTTATCGCCTCAGACAAAACCATAAGGCAGAGCAAGGGTGTGTGCATGTACCAGCAGACCCTACTGCTTTTAAAATCTCCAGCTCTGGACTCATGGCACATGTTTATAACACTCAATGGATTACAAATAGGGTCCACACATCTTGAAGAACCTCCAGTTACAGGTAAGTAACCTCCTTTTCTTTCACTAGCGAAAGGGGATTGGTCATCAACCCTCGAACTACAAGATACCTATTTTTGTACAATAATACACCCATCACACAGGAATTACCTACACTTCACTATAGGCCAGAATCATTTACAGTACCAAGTGCTCTCTTTTGGTCTATCCTCGGCCCCAAGGTTGTTCTCAAAGTTCTTGGTGGTAGTGGCTGCTTACCTCCAACAAAAAGCGATCCTAGTCTTCCTGTACCTCAACAACTGACTACTCAAGGGCTGTTCTTGTGAAGCAGTGCTATCTTCCTCCCAGACAGCCCTTGCTCTGTTCCAGGAGTTGGGTCTGCAGCTTAATGTAAAAACATCCTTATTAACCCCTGTACAGAAGATAGAGTTTATAGGGGTGCATTTAAACTCATTAACAGCCTGACACTACCTTCCCTTAGACAGATTTGTAACTTTGTCAGGTCTGGTGTAGGCAATTCAAGGAGCCCTTGGACCACAATAAGGAACTGTCGAGCTCCTGGGACACAAGGCACCTTATACCTTTGTGATCAATCACTCAAGGCTATACCTCTGCTGCTTCCAGGGTTGGCTCATAGACACCTTGTATAGACAGGTGATGGTTCCTCTACAAGTGAAGAAGTCCCTAGACTGGCGGAAGGATCAACTCAACCTCTGTGCAGGTGTTCCTTTCTGTTGCTGAGGTCCATCAGTGACTTTAACAGACATATCACTTCTGGAATGGGAAGCCTACCTCAGTGCCCTCACAACTCAGGGCAGATGGACAACTCAGGAAACCAGTCTCCACATCAATCTATAGAAGATCAGGGCTGTCAGGAGGGTTTGCCTTCATTTCTTACCCCTCATCAAGGGTGAATCAATCAGGGTCATGACGGACAATGTATCCTGCATATTCTATATTAACAGCAGGGAGGAGCACGATCCCTCTCCCTGTGTGCCAAAGCTATGAAACTATGGAACTAGTGCATAACTTATCAGATCCAAATTTCAGCAGTCTACCTCCCAAGTGTTCAGACCACCACAGCCAATGTCCTCAGAAGGCACTTCTCACAGGACTACGAAGGGGAGCTAGGCACCCAAGTTCTCCACAGCATATTCCAAAGATGATGGATCTCTTGGCCACCTCCAGAAACAGGAAGTGCCCTCTCTTCTGCTCAAGAGTGGGTGTGGGCCACCAATCCCTGGGAAATACCTTTCTTCTGTCTTAGAAGAAAGTGTTCTATGTGTTTGCTCCATCGCCACTGATACTAAGCTTGATGAACAGGATCAGACAGGACAGAGCCAAAGTTATCCTAATAGTGCCAACCTGGCCGAGACAAGCTTGATTCTTTTACCTATTACACCTATGTGTCCAACCATAATTCAGGCTTCCAACCATTCCTCATCTCTTGTCAAAGGATGCCGGTCGTGTGTTTCGTCCCAACCTAGTGGTTCTCCACCTCAGGGCATGGTTCATGGGGTTAGTATCCTCCTGTTCTATGGAAGTACAACAGGTGTTACTGAATAGTAGAAAGAGGTCAACCCGTGCCATTTACCTGCAGAAATGGAAGAGATTCTTCCATTGATGTTGTCCTCACTGCCTCCTGCCTGAGTCGAAGACGCTTTCAGTCATCCTGGATTTACCTGTTGGATCTGAAGAAATCAGGGTTATCAGTTAGTTTGATTAAGGTTCATCTGGCCACAATATCAGCCTTTCATCCTCTGGTAGAAGGGTTCTCCATTTTTGCTCACCCTGTATCTAGGTTTATTAAGAGCTTGGGGAATCTCTATGCCCAGATTAGGGACTCCACCGCAACCTGGGATCTAAACTTGCTATTTTGAGACTGCCATAGGTTCAAATGGCAATCAGTTCTCTGTTCCTTTTATCTATGAAGACAGCCTTTTTAGTAGCCATCACGTCAGCCGGTAGTGTCGGGGAGATTGGTGCCTTGGTGACTCTGTGCAGGAATCCTATTTTCATACCCTGGATGTTAGAAAAGCTTTGGCTTTCTATTTAGATAGGACCAAGCAATTTAGAAAGTCACTTAGGCTCTTCATCTCCTTCACGGATAGATCCAAGGGGTCTAGATCTCTCCTCAGAGACTATCAAGATGGATATCTCAATGTATTCTCACTTGCCAAGATGCTGCAGGCATTCATCCCTCCCAAAGGTGACAGCACATGGGACCAGATCACAGGTAACATCTACAGCATTATTTAAGAATGTTCAGAATCTGAAATATGTAGGGTGGCTACATGAGCTTCAATACATATATTTTTGAAACATCAACCCTGATCCATGCCACCAGATCTGATACTATCTTCAGTTCTGCACTCACTTCCTAAACTCCTTGCTCCTTCTGGGGATATTGCTCAGAAGTCACCTGAAGCAGAGCACCCATAGGGATACTACTACTTGAAGAAGAGGCGGTTACTCACTTTGTGCAGAAACTGCAATTCTTCAAAATGTGTCCCCCGATGAGTACTCCACTACCACCCTCCTTCCCCTCTGTTTAGACTGTACTCTATGGGACATTTGGGTGGAGAAGAAACTGAGGGTGGTTCACCCACATGCCAGTATATAGTCTCAGTGTTGAGCATGAGGTGGCATAGGGCACATGTGTGCGCCGAACAGACACTGCTCACTGAAAATCTTCAATCAAGGACTTAAGAGGCGCAGGTGCACCTGAAGTGGAGGGACACACATCTCAAAGAACCACAGTTACTGCAGAAGGTGAGTAACCTCTTCTTAAATGTTTGCAATGCACTTATATAGGACTTTTTACCTTAGTCTTTCTAAGGGTGTTAAGTTATTTTGACATCTGAGATCTCCATTCAGTTGATAACATGATAAATGGGTTATTTTTGTTTTCAGCCAACAGTATTAATGTGCAGCCCAAAGCGTGGAAGGCTGGTTGTTTGTAAATAAAAAGAAAAAAAAAAGGAGAAAACAAAGCCATATTTGGAAGTGTTAAAAGCCTTGACAATGTTTTTTCTCTTTAATAATCAGACGGGGTCTAATGGAGGATGATGCTGAGCCCATCTTTGAAGATGTAATGATGTCCTCACGAGGTCAGCTAGAGGATATGAATGAGGAATTTGAAGACACCATGGTCATTGATCTGGTCAGTAAGGCCTGAGTATTATTAACAAGTTTTAAATGGGTAAGGATAGTTAGAGGATAAGAAACTACAAAAACAGCTTCCCAAAATCGTCTGCCTGCCTTCCAGTTTTTTGAGCACCTGATTGAGGGAGGAGATTGGAGGGCCATCAACCCCACTGATCGCCTGATCGTAGAAACGCAGGAACTGTTATTCACCCACAGCTCCTTCCAGTGTAATGTGCTATTCTAGGTAGTAACAAGTACCTGGTGCTTGAAGAAGGTAAAAAAACCTCACCATAATACATCTTGGCAGTTGTGAGAACATTCTTTCCTAATGGGAGATCTGCTTATACCCCAAAGCATGAGATATAATTTCCCTTGTATTGTTGTGATGGGTGGCTAATTATTCATAGTAGTAGCAGTACAAGTGCCTCAGTCGTACAAATGGTCTTTTTTTAAATCCAGTAACTGCATTTGCCTCAGTGACCTCTTGTCACAGTACTGGCTGGCTATGTACTGCCTAGTATTTTCTTTTATTGATTCCGAATTTACTGTCATTTTAATTTTGAATGTGATTGATTCATATTATGCAAAATGGGGAAAAGGAAGGACTGATCAGCTTTCACTGTACTCTCTTTAGCATTTTGCATACCTCAGCCAAGCTCCTCTTATCCTATCCATCCTAAATAATCGTAGGTCAAATTTTCAATCTTGGGTGTTTGAAGTTAGGTGTCTAACTTTGAGCGCTCAACGTGTTGTAAGGTTGGGTCCTAAGAGCTCTGCTTTTCTGCAGGGATGTCACTAACAATTCAGTTGCTGCCTCAGAAGGCTCAGCTGTTGTTAGCACTCATAGCATCCTGCAAGTATTTTTTTTTTAATCACTTTTTAATGGGTAATCCAATAAGAGAGGAGACAAAGGGTTTGATACAGGTCCTATTCAGGTCAGTTGAAAACTCCCATTGACTTGAATAGCCCAAAGGGAACAAATATTCCCTAACACAGACTACACTGTATTGAGGCCTTTTTCAAAAGTCTGATTTATTTACTATAGTTGCACTCCAATTTCAAAGCTGGACTGGCATGAGAGAAAGGTAAATCTGAGAAGTGAAGAGTACCAGAGAGTTTCATGAAGCCCAGTCTATGGCCCTGATTCTGGAAAGCATCCCTATTCAGGAAGAGCACATAAGCAAGTGCTTAAAGTTAAGCACATGCTTAAATCAAATTGGAAACAACTGGAGTTAAGCACATACTTGAAGGTAAGTGTGTGCTTAAGTACCTACCTGCATTGGGGCCTATATTAGGCCTGGTCTAAGCTTAGCAGTTAGGTCAACATAGCTATGGTGCTCCAGGGTATGAAAAATTCACACCCCTAAGCACTGTAGCTATCCCAACCTAACCCCTGGTGAAGACGCAGCGAGGTTGATGGAAGAATTCACTACAGTGCCATAGCTGTGCTGCAGTAGTGCCTATAGTGTAGACGTGGCTTTAGTATCTAGAAATCCTTGCCAAACCCACCTCACCAGAAGCCACTAACATGCTTCTGTACGTTGTATGTATCCTGTACATACATTTCTTTTATGTGACATGAACAGAGTATGTTACTCTAAATGAGGAACTATTCCTACCTCAATATAGAGAGCAATTCAATAAATGACTTCTTCTTCCAGCCACCTTCAAGAAACCGACGCGAACGAGCTGAATTGAGGCCGGACTTCTTTGACTCTGCAGCTATCATTGAAGACGATTCAGTAAGATTTTATTTAGCATTGTTTGCCATTTGTTTGAGGGTTTTTTATTTTACCTCCGAAGTTAACTGATGTTTTTTAATCATTTTTCTAGGGATTTGGAATGCCTATGTTCTGAAGTCTGGGGAAGACGTTTTACAAATTTGGAACTCTATTGTTTAGAGCTAGAGGCCTATATACTGTGATAGCTTGTATGAAAACCACATTTTTGATGTGATATGGTTTGATTTTTAACCAAATGAATAAGGTCAATCCCATTTTGTAGTGAAAGAGGAGAAGAGGACCTTCTTAATGATACAAAGGAACGTTGGCCAATCCAATCACCTCAGAAAGGCTGACCTAAAAGAATCATTTGTATCCCTGTTCTTGACTGTCCTTATACAGATGTTTTTTTTCTGGATGGGAAGGGAGTTTTAAATTGTTAAAACAGCTGTCAAAATAAACACTGTTCTACACATGTTTTCTGAAAACATTGAATGAAAACAAAAAACTTTTTAACTTTATTTTTCTGCTGTACAATTTAAAACTGTTTTAACATTTGCCTTTTTATGTTTTAAAAGCTAGCCATTTTTATTAAACCTATGCCTGTCAGTGACTGACTAGCAATGATGCTATAAGCAGGTCATCCTGGCTGCAGAAATGTGTTTTTAAACACACTGGATTTGATTAACAGTATGGTACGTGTATATCCTCTCATAGGCATTGAAAAGAGCAGAACACTCTTACAAAAGAGGTTAGAATTCTAATGAAGTGCATCTCTGCCAAAAAAGTCAGATTCTGATATGATAAACCCAGATTTTATACTCTTGAGAAGATTTATTTTTATTTATAATGGGGCATAAAATAAGAGATGTCCATGAAGCCACTTTTCCAACAGATGCTGTGTAACATTCATTTTATATAGCACTAGGGGACACAAAAACAGTACATTTTCTATTGGTACTTGCTCTGTGCATTTTTAGCAACTTATACCAGCAAATAAAGTATTCTCAGTAAAACACACAAATGGTTCTCAAGTAGTCACTTTGCTGTTTTTACTACCTATTTCGTGCCCTGCCAATCCAAGGTACATAAACAGCAACTTTCCTATATAAAATAGATCAAGGGGGGAAAAAAAGGAATCGCTTTAGCATTCTAAAAGCAATTTTAACTGTACCATATAAAAATGTCTACTTTCCATGCCGCAAATACCCTTTTGTGCTATTTTTGTAAATTAATTTTGCCAGTTAGAAGTACTGTATGTGCTGCATAGAAATTTGTGCTTAGATGGTGAAGTTCTTAAGCTTACAATGGAATACAGCTACATTTTCAGTGTTAACTGTGCATATTAAGAGTAATTCTTTGAAAAAATACAATTTTTCAAAAAAGTAAAGAAAACCCAAAAAGTTCTCAGCTAATTCATTGTAATAAGAGATTTTCAGTGTCTTCAATGATTTGGAATCTCATTATGCTTAGATTTTATGACTCTGCCTAGTAGCTGCTACTGTAGTTTAAAACTGGCCTGATATTCAGAGGTGCTGACCACCCACAACTCCCACTGACTAAAGCACCTCTGAAAATCAGCACCAAAACGTTAATCTTCCTTTCTGAGTTTGAATGTTAGCATTTGAGATACAAAGCATATTGACCCACTTCAAGCACAGCAGGTTTAGAGTTCCTTTTATTAGCAACTGCAAATTCATCATGGAGCTTTCTCTTTTACAATGTCATTTGGAAAAAAACATGTACACTTAGTACTTACCTTTGGGGAGGGAAAAACAACTAATGTAAAAACAAATCATTCTTTTCATTTAACAGCTGAGATTTTTCTCAATGTGTACAGTTCTCAGAAAGACTTGGTTGCCAAAAATGTTTAACTTGGTAATTCAGCCATTCCTCAAGTGTAGATGGGTGACTATTGCAACAGCCTCTGAGGTTGCTGGATCATTTCTTTATAACTAGGGCGCAGGTTACCCCCAGGGGGTACAGGGTGGGCAGGAATGGCTGCATTATCATGTCAGCACTGTAGTTCTGTGAGCATAGTAGCATAATAAATGCTGCATGGTTTGAGTCATAGTCACAGACAAACCTCGTGCTTCACAGTCCTCTGTGTGGAAAATTGAACCCTGAGTTATAGATTGTAGACTACTGTATAACACAACAAAGATCACTTGGACAGCCCCTCCAATGGTTTCCAGTTCAGTTTGCAGTCAATAGGTTTTTTGTATTGAGAGTGTCTCCTTGATTGGTTTTGCTAGTAATTCTGTAAATTGTACATTTACAATATGAGGTTTTTTTTTTTCCTTTTGTACAATTTAAAACTGATGCTTCACCTTTCCTTTAATAAACTATTAAAAGTCATGTGTGTGTGGTGAGCATCCTCTTCGCCATACATCATTTTAAAATAGCATCTGGCCAGTCACCACAGAACATTCCCAAAGTTAAGGTTGAAAGGCAGCTTTCCCTTTAAGCCCCAACTCCCTTTCCAGACTCCATGTGGCTATTGCTCATGCTCAGGTCTCAGGGTAAAGGAGATTTGTGTTTATTTATTGTTTGCAGTAAATCTGATGAGTTGTCATTTGAGTCTGGGAATTTTGAACTATTACAGGCTTTCACATTAGAGAACAGCAATGTCTTTGCCACGATTCAAAGACACATTTCAGGTGAATTACACTCCTTCCACTTGAGCTTTAAGTAACCATGTAGGTAGAGTACAGGAATGATTCAGAAATAAAAAGGTTTAACATTCCAATAGGCTGGAGTTTGTGCTAAAGATTTACAAATTCACCAAGGTGACTGATGTCTCTTCCACTGCTACTGAGAGTCTGAAAATCTGGCATGACTTTCACCAATGCCAGCTGTGAATGCACTCTCTTCTACAGTGTCAGGGAGAACTGAGGTATCTGTTGCTACTGGTTCTCAAAGCTGAACTGGTGAAGATACAGTGTGGTCCAAGGGGTAGTGCACTGAGCTAAGATTCAGGGCACCTGCATTTTGTTCTAGGTCTACCATTAGCAGGTTGGGTGATCTTGTTCATGTTGCATCACCTCTTTGGCCTGGATCTACAAAGGGACTTGGACATTGCAATACTACGCAGCATGATGCCTAGCAAATCACAGGAACACCAATGCAGTCCACATAGCCTGAGGTAGGCTCCTAGGCTCCCTATACAATGAATAGGGAGAGATCGGAGCCTTAGAATGTGATCCACAAAAGCCAGCACACGATGCAGGGAGCTGCCTGAGCTGGCCAGTGGGAGATGATGATAAGGGTACATGCCTAAGCCTCGCCTTTCTCATAGAGAGAGGCACTTATCTCAGCTAGTGAGTCACAAATGGAAACAAGCTACTTGGAGTCAGGCAGCTTAGGCACATAAGCATTTCTTGTGGGAATGAATTAAGCACCTGCCTCATTCCACGCACACGGGAGGGGAATGTGGGGAGGAGGTGGTACCCACCTTATAACTTTTAACTCAGTGATTTAGAGCACTGGCCTGGGATGTGCAAGACTCAGGGTCAATTCCCCCTCTCTGCCCAAGGAGAGGTGAAAGAATTTGAACAGACGTCTCCTGTCTCTCAGGAAGGTGCTCTAACCACTGAGTTCTGGGCTGTTCTGATGTGGAGGACGTTCCCCACAAGTCTCTTCCATTGATGTTGTTCCAGTTTGGATAAATAATGAAATAGTGATGGGAGCATGGTGACTGAGCCCAGTGTCTTCCACCTCCCAGGTGGGTGCTCTAACCACTGGACTACAGGGTCATTCTCTCTTCCTTGCTTTCTGACCTGGTGGGAGGTAAAAGTTGGGAAACTGAGTCACAAATCCACCCAATTTAGGCTTAATCAATTTTCCTATTTATAAATTTCAGACAGAATTATTGTCATGTATGGTGTCTGCACATACATTTATGCCAGATAAATAGGGCTCTACCAAATTCACAGCCATGAAAAACGCATCACGGACCGTGAAATCTGGTTTCCCCCCATGAAATCTGGTCTTTTGTGTGCTTTTACTCTATACTATACAGATTTCACGGGGGAGACGAGTGTTTCTCAAATTGGGGATCCTGACCCAAAAGGGAATTGCAGGGGGGTCACAAGGTTATTTTCGGGGAGGGTCGCAATATTGCCACCCTCTGCTCTGCCTTCAGAGCTAGGCAGCTGGAGAGCAATGACTGTTGGCCGGGCATCCAGCTCTGAAGGCAGTGCGCCACCAGCAACAGTGCAGAACAAAGAGTGGCAATACCATACCATGCCTTACTTACTTCTGTGCTGCTGCTGGCAGCAGCTCTGCCTTCAGAGTTGGGCAGCTGGAGAGCGGCAGCTGTTGGCCAGGATCCCAGCTCTGAAGGCAGCGCTGCCACCAGCAGCAGTGCAGAAGTAAGGGTAGCAATACCACAACCCCTGCTACAATAACCTTGCAACACCCCTCCCCCCCCAAACTCCTTTTTGGGTCAGGATCCCTACAATTACAACACTGAAATTTCAGATTTAAATAGCTGAAATCATGAAAATTATTATTTTTAAAAACCTTATGACTGTGAAATTGACCAAAAATGGACCATGAATTTGGTAGGGCCCTACAGATAAATAATAACAGCCCAAGTTACCACATTCCGGGTGTGACATACCGCAGTACAGTCCAGACTAGTTGGGGGGGGGGGTCATCCCTGACCTTGGAAGAGGAAGGAGGGGGATCTCTGGGGTGTTTGTCCTTCCTTTTTCTACTTTCAGTCCCTCTCCTGAAAAACATGTCCAACTGAGATCCAGGAGATAAAAAGTCCATGTGGAAGAATGTTCCCTGCTCGGTTTTTTTGCCTGTTCAAATTTCCTTTGTTTTCCCTCTGCTTGATGACCCTGTTTACTGCTTAAATGCAAATTAAGGCAAGCACACATTCCTTCCTTTATTTAGGACAGACCTGATTTCTGCTTGGGCAGAGCTGTGGGGTTTGGAACATGTGTTGTTAACATGAGAGAGGGGAGACTTGTAACTTCACATACAATGTTGCCACATGTATTTTACCAGGACAATACTGATCAGCAAATTAAGAATTTTCAAATGATACTTTACAAGTCATACTTTGTACAGAGATTATTACAATAGCATGTAGGGTGTGAATACAGCGGTACATTCCATCTCACCTCCCTCCCTTAAAAAGCTGCAGTAGGATTAGCTATTGGCTGACCTGGAGGCAGCAGGTTAGGGCCCTCTTTCCTGGACAAGGCATCTTCCGCCATCGTTTCTTTTCCCTTTATATACACAGTTTGCATATCAGTGTCTGAAGCATCTGCACACAGTTCAATCACTTCGTCAAAATCTAGACTTGCGAGAAAAAGCTTTCCAGACAAGATTTTTCTTTACCTTATCAAAACCCTCTTGACATGTCTTTGTCCATACTACTTTGTTAGGCTCAGTCTTTTTACATAGATCTGTGATTGCAGATACAATGTCACTGAACCCACACACAAACCTTCTGTAATAGTCTGTCAGTCCTATAAAAAATTGGACCTGATTTTTAGTTTGGGATTGCAGACCAATTTACAGTGGCTTCAACTTTCATGGGATCCGAGGATATTTGACACCCACCTACCCAGTGTCCCAAATAAGGAATTCTGGCTGCCCCAGTTTTACACTTAGACGATTTTATGGTTAGGCCTGCCTTTTTGAGCTTTGACAGCGCAATTTCCAAATGTTTTTTGTGATCAGACCAAGTGTTGCTAAACACTGCAATGTTGCTGACATATGCCCTTGCAAAATTCTGCAAATCATTTCACACTTGGTTGACCAGCCTCTGAAAAGTAGCTCCTGCATTAATTAAACAAAATGGCAACATTTTGAACTCAGAGTCCCATATCAGTGATGAAAGCAAATTTTTTCTGTGCTTCCTTATCTAAAGGAATTTGCCAGTAACCTCTAGTTAAATTCAAAGAGCTGAGATATTTAGCTTTGCTCAAAATGTCCAGCATGCCATCAGTTCTAGGCCTAGGACATACATCTGGTACTGTGACAGGACTGAGTTTTCTATAATTAACACAAAGCTTTACAGTGTTCTCTTTCTTAAGGACCATGCCAACAGGTAATGCCCAATAGCTGTCAGACTCTTTAATTACTTCCAGGTCTAACATGTTTTGTATTTCTGAACAAATTTGTTCCTGCATCTTGCCAGTGGCATGATGCGGTTAGCTGGGAAGTGGCTGTGTCCTCCTGTAATGATTTTATAAGTCAGCAAGTGTATCCCCCATCATGTCTTTTAACTCTTTTCTGAACCTTTGTACATACATCTCTACCCCGATATAACGCTGTCCTTGGGAGCCAAATCTTATCGCGTTATAGGGGAAACCGTGTTATATCGAACTTGCTTTGATCCTCTCGAGTGCCCAGCCCCTTGCCCCCCCCCCCCGCCCCCGGAGCACTGCTTTACTGCATTATATCCGAATTTGTGTTATATTGGGTTGCGTTATATCGGGGTAGAGGTGTATTAAATTACTGGTTCTCTGTCTGCCTCAGTGTTCGAGCTACTGCCTCAGGATATCTGGTGGCAAAATCCACCACCACCAATATATATTTCTTCCCCCTTTGGGTGGTATGTGGCAAAGGGCCCACACTGTCCATTGCTACCCTCAGAAATTCCTCTTGTACAACAGGCAACGAGTGTAGAGGAAGTTTCTCCGCATGTTCCAGTCAGAGCTTCTACTCTCATCTCTCTGTGATGCATTAAAAAAAAAAAAAGCCAGTTTTTAGTATTGTACATAGTTAATTTTTGTTGTTGTTTTACTGTAGTTTTAGTAGTAATTGTTTTAGGACTTTGGGACACCTTTTTTGACGGTTCCTTCTCTGCTCCCCCCCCACACACACACACACCTGGGTTCTGGATTATGCCGAAGATGCAGGGGATCAAGATCTGCACTTCCTGCCCACACTCGTTCTTGGTCAATGCTGCCTTTACTGCTTGAGGGAAGCCCACATTGCATCCAGGTGCAGTATCTGCCTCTCCTTCCCAAGCCGTACCTGGGAAGGCCTGGCTCTCCGCCTCAAGAAGAACCTCACAGAGGTTTTCATAAGGTCGCAGTGGGACCCAGGTCAGGGAATCCCCCTGTACATTGTCCTGAAAAACCCAGGCATGCGCCTCCTACCGCAGAGACCCATTCTGGTTCCTCCAGTATTAGTACTAGGGACCCTGTGCTGGGGTCTAGTCGTTAAGCATGGCACCAAGTCTTCCTCCAGGCCCAAGAAAGACAATGCACCTTCCACAAGTTCCAGCCATGGAGAAGCGGCGTGTTCTAAAGCTCACAAGCACGACAAAAAGTCGCATAGACCACCGGACTCACTGGTTCTATCCATCGAGCCATGTATGCCTTCAAAGT